AGGTAGGTTAGTCCTGCCCCAGTCCCACCATGAAGCATGCTGTAGCATCTAGACAGGCCTGACTGGGTTGCCCTGCCAGGTCCATGAACCATTGTGCCTGTGCCACGGAGTCTCCTTAAAACTCCAAAGGATGGCTATGAGATGGGGTGGGCGGAGCTTCCGAGTCACTGAGCAGGTGGAGTTCCTGGGGGGTGGTAAACTCAGAGGGGGTGAAGAGGCTCCCTGCCCCTTCTTCCATTTCTCATATGTCTCCTTCATCTGTACCTTTTGTAATTTCCTTTTTAAACATCCAGATGCTCAAGGAGTTCGAGGATTATAATTTGTAACTGGGTTGGGCAGCAACACAGGTACAACATTTAGTGTCTTGGGGACTGGGCCCTCCAACGGTGAGTGACAGTGTCAGAAGGATTTGGGATTAGAGGAATTAATGGCTTGTTTGGTGCTGGGGAAAAAACCCACACACACACCTGGTATCAGAAGCGACCTCTGGCATGTGAATACAGTGGGAGCAATTGAATCAGCTTCAGAGGGAAGAAAGGCAACTCTCCAGCCTCAGAGAGTTTTATAACTGAGTGTGAATAAACCAATAAAAATAATTAATGGGGGAAAAGGTTTACCTATACGTTATATGCACAAGGGCATCACAGGACAAAAAAATAAATAAATAATAGCCCCAAACCCAGTGAGGTCTATCAAAAGTGTGTACTGTCTTTATAGAAGCCAGGACAGGAGACTGCGCAGGTGATTTTGGCAAGATCACATGATGTTTGAGAATGATGAATCGACTCTTGGGAGAACCGACGATGGTTTACGATAAAGTTTGCCTGGGCATGGTGTGAGCTCCGACTTTCTTCTCTTGTGGTCTGAGGAAACCTTTCCTGGCTGGTGCAACTCTTAAGGAGGGAATGGGCAGACTCAGAGTTCCTCCTGGCGAATTGCTCTGGGGACAGGGAGGGGAAGTTCCGAGAAACGCTTTCTCTGCCTCTGCTGTCCTCCACGTGTGTTCTCCCCAGGGTCATCCGTAGATTGCGTGGCGTAATTTGGGGTGGCATTTCCCCAACTCTTACATCTGGTAGATGATGATCAACTTGTTCTAGAATGCAGACTCTGAAGCTAAACAGGCCTAAGTGCAAACCTGGGCTCTGTCTCTTACTGGCTGTGTGACCTTTGCCACAAACTTCATCTTTCCAATCCTCAAATTCTTCATCTTATAAAGGGAAGATTAGCGAAGTGTTGGCAAAAACATGCTCCAAAATGTCAAGAAAGCTTCTCTCTTGGTGATAAGCTCAAGAATTTTTCTTCATTTCTGCCTCTGACTTATCTGTATTTCAATTTTTTTTTCTATTTACAATCATACATATTATTATACGAATATTTATGCCTCTTTTGCAATAAAAAAAAGTTAACACTTTCTGTGAACCTGTGGCCTAGCTGGGTATTCTGTTTGTATCTTGAAGCACTGGGGATGGATTAGGAAAATGAATACTCTCATTTTCCCCACTAAGAAAGACAAGATACGCAAATGGAGTGTTTATTATTTGTAGCATCCAGTATATGGTTTTAAAGTTGCGAAGAGAATATGGTATTATTTCAAGGGCTTCATAAATTCTAAGTTGGCATTCTTAAACTGTAAATAGGCAGCTACTATACATTGCAAGTCAGAAGGAGTCAAACCTTCCCCTCCCTACCCCATGCCCCCAAAGTTCAACAATTCCTAAACTCCATGTTTGCTGGGTCCTCCATCTGGGAGAGGAGTGATCTTATTAGGCTGGGGAAATTTCCCAAAAGCCTCCCAGAGGCGGCAACCTCATGGATAATCCAAAAAGGAAGGTTGACCTTCAGTGATTAATTATGGTCTTGGTGCTTCTTGGTTTGCTTCACGTAAAAGGACAATGGGACAAGAGGTAAGAGCTGAGAATGTTCAACAATTGATGTACACACAGAGAAGGACCGCCTAGCCAGTTGCTTTAGCCGTTAGTTATTAACATCAACATCCAACAGGCCGGGGGAGAAGAAGGCCTCCCTTTTTCACAGTGGAGAAATCCAGAGCTGAAATGGAGCATACTTTGATTCTGCTGAATTGTGTGTGTGTGTGTGTGTGTGTGTGTGTGTGTGTGTGTGTGTGATTTCATGTTTGTAAAACTAAAAAAAAAAAAGTCCATGAGTTCAGCTTGATATTTATATTTATGATTTTCCAACTTGGTAAGGGTTTAAACAGTCCTTTGTTTTCCAAACCCAAACCAGGGTTTCATTTGTTGTGATTTGCGAGTAGCCCAATTTCTGCCTATCTGTTAACTGCCTAGGTGAATACACAAAAAAATTCTAGGCAGTCAAACACATGACCGTGGGTGGAAACAACATCTCCCTGAGCATCAGGCTTCCTAGCTCACAGAGTCTCAACAGGAAGGATGCGTTGACAGTTTTAAGATTGTCATATCTCAAAATGCATGAGTTTCCATCGCTTCCATTTCATTATGATGATTTCGAAAGAGCTACCACTTTGCACCTGGCAATGCTGAATTCAGACTCTCATCCATTTCAAAGAAAAGTGAAAAAAAAAATAGAGAGATTGAAGACACACAGAATTAAAGTCAACACGAATCTTACATTATGAGGAAGATCACCTTTAAAACTTCTCACCACGGGATGAAGTACCTAACACGTCTGTCTTTGTGCTGACCACAGAAAAGAAAGCCTTCCTTTGCCATTGTTTGTCTCAGGTGGTTTTGGAGAGTAGGGAAGTTGCCCAGAGGAACTTGGGCAATTTAGGGAAAGAAACTAAACCCACACACTTCTCCATTCTTAGGAAAAGGAGATAATATTGATATCACCCTCCACTGAAATACAGTGTTTACACTTCAAATTATTAGGTAACACATTGTATCCTACAGAAATATAAACTGATTGGGACAACCAAGTTCAAATTTCTTTTGTGTCTTTGTTATCTTATTCATCCAGTGATTCAGCAAATGTTCATTCAACATCTGTTATGCATTGAGTGTTGGGGCTACCATGGTAAGTGAAGGGAAATTTACAAGACCTCTCAAAAATTCTGGAGCTCAGAAGGAGGAGATAGGAACAGAAATAAAAAACACAAATAATTATAAAATGAGTGTGATCGTGAGTTCTACCAAAAGAAAGCCATCTGGTGCCAAGAAAACTTAGAATAAACGATGTACTTATAGTGGTTGGGGGAAACTTACGTTATCCATAAAGGAAGTTAGGATTCAATCAGGGAAGACTAGCAGCTGGCTGGGGAAAGGAAAGAGGAAGGAAGTGACACTGGGATAAAGGAGAAGGGAGGCGTATTCATGGCATTCAGAGGAGGCTCTCAGCAGGCCAGGGGGAGAAACCAGATGAAGGAGCATGGAAGCGGTGGGAGCTTCCAGTCCTACACGAGGATCTGGATTTGATCCTCTCTTTGTCTCATAAACAGTGTGATGCCATTCAATGACATGAACCAGAGGGTCAGGAGAGCTGGGTTCGCATTTTAGAAGAAAAAAAACTGACTTCAGCTCAGGTTTGCAAAACTAAAGGCAAGGGCCTACAGGGTCACGACTGAGGAAGAGCAGGCAGGACATGCTTGCTAAAGGGGTGACAGTGGCAAGGGTCAAGGTGCCAAGGGGAAGAGGTGGATTTTGCACTCTCTTTTTCTCCAGGGCTAAATTGACTCCAGCCTTGGTGAGATTGCTGTTGGACACAAAGATGCCCAGGCCTCCTAAGGTCAGGGCGCTGCCTCTGTCCTGCACAGGACACCCAAGAGAAACAGCATGCTGCTAAGACACATTTAGAGACAGTGTTTGGTGCTGGAAGGAAAAAAAAAAAAATTAACTTTGCCAGATCAAGTGGACTGCCAAGGAGGAGTTTGGTGCTAGTTTGGGGGGAGGGAGGGGCTATTTGCCTTAATTCTCACACTTTGTCTTGGGTGAAGGGGTCTGTGGTAGGAACTGCTGCAGATCTGAGCTGAGAGTAAAGAGTAGGTTATGACAGCTGGGACTAGGTTGACTATAGGATTCAATCGGGACACCATGGAAAGAAAAACGGGTTCTGAATACTTAGCTGCGAAGCAAGTATGAAGCAGCAGTGTCTTTGGCCAACCTGGGTGTCTTAGTATGAAGGAGAATTTGAAGGCTAATTGGTAGTGATGTCAGTATTAGCTATTCCACACAGGAGAGGCAGGACATTGTCTTTCTTCAAACCCATTGCCAGGTGCAAAGGCAACCCAACAATTGACTCCCAAGCCATTTTTGGTTCTTTGTTTTGTCTTGTTTTTTTTTTTTTGTATTTTCTACTATACTTAAAAATAACATTCCGTGTCATTGTCACCCTGTGTTGGCTGGCCACTTAAATGCCACCTCCAGACAGAGTTCAGAATGAAAGGTTCCATAGAAAATCAGAGTTCCCTTCTGAATCAGAATCTACAGCCTAGTGAGATCCCGGGGTGAGCAGCACGCACATTAAAGTTGAGGAAGTCCCGCTGGACTTCAGGCACTGTAGGACAAACATTTTGCAATGTGAGGGACGGGCGCATCTAGAAGAGCAGGCATGCTTCTAGACACCAAAGTTTCATAGAACATTCCTTCCTGCTGCTTTATTAGGGGGAAGAACCTGTGCTGGACCCACTATCTAGCTTTAGGAATCTACTCTGAGTCTCCGCTTGCAGTTTGGAACACTGGCTGTAAGGAATCCAGGAAGCATCCAAATAAGGTACTTGTTGGTGGCGGGGGAAGCGCTTTGTGGTGGGTTAGGAAAGTGTGGACAACTGGCGTGTTTAGTGACTCTGAAACGCGCTCTGGTAGTCACCGGGAGCGACGAACCCCTGGGCCGTGTGGGAGGGCAGCTAGAGGAGGCTGAAAGTGAGCCCAAGTCCTCCCGGGGGCTGATCCAGAGGCTGTTGATTGGCAGGCCCGAGCGAGCAAGGGCTGGAAGCTAAGAGCGAGAGAAGGCTCTGGGCGGCTAGAGGTCCTGCCCAGCTGTTGCGAGGAGTTTCCTGTTTCCCCCACAGAGCCGAGTGAAGTTGAGTGAGTCACTCGCGCGCACGGACAGACGACACCCCGCGCGCGCACCCGCTCGGGCCAGGAGCCGGCCTCCTGCGCAGCTCCCCTCGGCCGCCGGGGGCCTCCGCCGGCTGTAGGCCCCCCTCCTCTGGGCCAGCCGGCGCCACATCTGGACGGCACATCTGCCCGGCCCTCCAGGCGCGGGGTTCCCATAGGGCGCGGCGTGGACGCGCAGCCGAGGGCTCTGGGGAGGCGCCGTCCGCTGCGCTCCGGGCTCGGTCTATGACGAGCGGCGGGGTCTGCCATGGGTCGGGGGCTGCTCAGGGGCCTGTGGCCGCTGCACTTCGTCCTGTGGACACGCATCGCCTGCACGATCCCACCGCACGTTCAGAAGTCGGGTGAGTAGTCCCAGCCCCGCGCCGGACGCGCCGCCGAGGGGCACCAGGGGCCCCTGCGCAGCGCTTTGACAGTCGGCCCCGAGCGCTGGGGCGGAAACAGGGGAAAGTTGCCCCTCGGCTCCCGCAGCTGGAGAGAGAAAGTTGGTTTGCAAGGAGGGCACGGGGTCCACGGGGCCCCCTTTGTGCGCGCGGGAGAGGCGGTGCGCTAGCAGCGTTCGCCCGAGCCCCCACCCCCGGAAAGGGAAGTTTATGAAGTTAGTGATCTGAAGGCGGTCCGGGGAAGCAGCGGCCCTGAGGAGGCCGCCGAGGCCGCGGGAACAGCCGCACACCTGGGCCCCGGCGATGCTGGGTGCCTCCGGATTCCTTCCCCTAGCCATTTCCAGCCCCCAGAGGCCAGTTACCTGGACCGGAGATCCTGGAAACGGCAACACGTTACCCCCTCGGCCGGTCCTTGGCCCTGAGTTCCTGGAAGCGAGTTCCAGGCAAAGAGAGCAAGGATTTGCAAAGGAGTTCTCTGGCTTCCCTGAGGGTTTGGGGTGGAGGGGCAAGCAGTGGAGTTGGGTAGGTAGATGGGGACGAGTTACGGAGTGCCTGCAGGCTGCCTGGAGAAGGCCTAGGTACCTGGAGGGAAGCATTCCAGCCTTCAGGGAAGTGAAGGTTGTCCAAGACTGTCATTCAGTGCAGAGTGGTGGTTAGAACCCTAAATCCTTGGGCCCACCTGATCCTTGTTGCTGGAGCTTTCTAAGGGGACTTAACAGACAAACAAATAAGCAAAGCAGGAATTCGGTTCTTACCGACTTGTTATGGAGAGTGCAAGAAACCTTGAGATATTAAAAGTCAGAGTGCGTGCAGCTCTAGGTGTGCTGTGTCTCGGGGAAGCTGGGTGCTGCTGGGGCAAGTCCTGCCACTTTCTCAGACCCCAGGTTTTTTTATCTGTCACATGATTGGATATGGCTCTTGGTTGACATCTTACCACCACCTGCGCCACAGCCCCAGGCACCTTTTGGTGACTTGGAGATGTCCCGTGTCAATGTTGTTTGAAACTATAGAGACACCGAGAGGCCCATCACACGGAGGTTTTTTACTTACCATAAGGATTGTCTAAAAGAAAGAGGCAAAAAAATCCAAAAGGTGCATTTCAAATGATCTAAAGTAGATGGGAAGTTTAGCAGTGCATGGCTTTAGTGAGGGGTGGCATGAAAATCGCTGTTTTAAGGAACTCAAGATATCGCCTTGTGGCAAGCAAATAAAAAAAAATAAATCTTGACACAGATGTGAGTTCTATGGTTTAATATAATTCCACAGCATTTTGTGCTTGGTTGTTTTCTTGAAGTACCGGAATGTTCCACCAGCTCTGATTTTTATGACTTTGGAGCAAAATCAGAGCTTTATTTTTGGCTAATAAATATTATGTCATCCATAATTCTCTGTGTTGAAAAAAGGCCTTGCAACATCGCCTCAGCTGAGGAAAGGAGCAGATGAGTGGGCCTTGGTTTTGTTAGTTAGCTTTTGTTTACAAGGAAAAGATTTATGATTTGCAAATTCTAGACTCAGGGTAGTTCTCCCGTCAGTTTCATTTCACCTGTATGCATGCAGTTAGCTCACAAGCAGAGTGACTTTTTCTTTGGGTTTTTGAACAGATTTACAAAGCCCGGAGGTATCATGTGTTTATGGAATTGAAGTTTCCAAGTGGTTGAATGAAAGAGTTGTTTTGAATTTGTGTTCATTTGCTCCAATTAAGTTTTTCAAAGATGGTTGAGGGCTGACAAGGGCTCTATACCAAAAATGAGAAACGTAATCTCACTTGTGTTTTAGTTTTCTGTTAAATAGTTTCAGGATTCTTTTATCATAATTGGCAGACCATGAGAACATCAAAAAAATTAACGTAAGACGAACTATAAGAATTAGATTATTTGCTGCCTCCCATGGGATCATCTCAGAAACCCAAAATCCTCTCTTCTGTCCCGTGGAAGTTAAGGGTTTCAGTGTAAGAGCATATTTCTCGAAGAACTATCTTCCAAAACTTTGTTTTGAACTTCATAGATTCCTATGTGCCCTAAATTAAGAAAAATGCACATTAGGTGAAAACTGGGTACTTGACGATTCTTAGACTCAAGAAAAGATTCTTGCGGGGCTCCATATTGGTAAAAGCAACATTGAGGTTAAGCTTTAGTAAAATCACTTTTAGTGACATGCTTGTTTTGTCAGGGTCAGGGATGAGAAATCATTAGGCCCAGAATTTGGTCTTTGGTCTACTTGCTTTTTTTTTTTTCTTTTCATTCTTCCCCCTTAGAACACATTTTCACCTCCACGCCACTTCCCCTAATAATATCTTATTTTTAGTGAGTTATGGTTGACACAGAATACTTGTCCTATTTTGAGCCCACTATCTTCTTTGAGGCTCAGCATCCCACGACTTCTCATTATGGCCATCGTGGTCAGAATCATCATTTTGCATTTCAGTTTAGTGTTCCCTCTGTTGTCAATGTGACTCTTTGGAGTTTGTTCGAATTCGGTTTCTGTTGAGTTTTCCCATTAGCCTCATTGACGCTCATTTTTCCTTGCTGACAACATGTCTTCCTTGAGTATCTGCTGCTAGGCGGATTGTGCAGACCTGCTTGCATCATCTCAAGCGAATGGGATGGAAGCAATGTTGTCCCTCTTTGAGTACGCCGTGAAGTGAGTTAGAAGCAAAGAGAATGACGCGTATCTGGGTCCCATTTGCTTTGGAAGTGTCATGGAATTCTGCTGTTTTATATTCTAGACTTTGTCAACTATTCTTAAGCAAGTTGCAGTTGCATGTTGAACATCCCATCCCAAACCCTCTAAATGGCTATTTGAATTGGTTTGTTCTCACTTTTCTGTAATTGTTTCGATTACAGACTTGGGCCATCTTTCAATTCCACAGTGGCCGGACCACAATGGCAAACTGAAATGACACCAGAGTACTTCAGAAAGTTTGTGCACAAATGGAATTTAAAATGAGTTGATAATGGTGCAAAAATTGTTTGAATTCCATGCAATTTCTAAGTATATGCATCCGCGTGAACATTTTGAAGGCTGCTGCTGCTGCTGCTGTGGGATGCCCTGATTCTTTAAGGCTTGGAAAACCTTCCACAGCACGGGCTGAGCCTGTCCTGTTTTCTGTGTTCAGGATCTCGCATTGTGCACGATGCCATGTTTTGCACTTTGGAAATGCTGATCTGTGCCTGCGTGTCTTCCAGGGGACATAGTATAACTGATGTCAGGCCTTCTGAAGTCCAGCAGTCAGTCCTTTTCCCCTGTGGATCTGCCCTGGGTAGTACAAAATTTTCACTTTCATGTTAGCCCTGACCGAAATGTGCAGTTTGGCTGGATTTTCTTATATTATGTAATTGGTCCCTCTATTCCGGTGAAATATGGGGGGAAGAAGTTTCCACTTGCAACAAATGTGATGACAAGCTGCTAGAGGGTTTTACCCACCGTCTTTAGACACAATTGTAAACCAACATAAAGCCATTCAAAACCATCGCAAAACTTTTCAGATGCTTTGGCCAAAAAAAATCATGCAGTAAATACTGAAATTTTTTTCTTTTTATTTTAAAACTGAAAGGCTGAACTCTAAATTTAGTTTTTCAGTTTTTTTTTTTTTAAGTTTGGATTTAAAAGCAATGAAGAAGTGTTGGGTGAAGGAAAGTGTGGCCCTGTCGCAGCCACTGCCTGCTGCTGTAGAGCAGTTTGGATATTATTTAGGCCCAATGCTAACCACAAGGTGGTTTAAAATAGGGTGAAGGGGAAGTGTACTTCCTGGCGGCCACATGGTGTGCCTAAGCCAAGTTCCACGTAAAAGCACAACTCCACCACCTTGTTAGCTTCAGGCTTCCAGCTCCTTCACGGTTTCAGCAGAGTTAATTTGTGACTTTCGATGGAAATGTCTGAGCAGATATGCTTGAATAGCAAGAATTCTCCCCACCTACTTTGCTCTCCCTCTGCCCCTTGTAATATCGCTGGCTGGGAACTTGCTCTCTCCGAGTAGGGCTAGATAATGATTACTCTACTTGTTGGCCTGGCCCGTGGGTTAAGAGGGTGGAGAATGCTGCGTGGGCCCCTTGGCTCAGCTCAGGGAGATGTTAGGGAGAGCTAACGTTGGACAATCTATCCCAAGCCAGCTTCTATAATATGATCTAAATAAGAAAATGTATAAGATCAACTTTGTTGCCTGTTTTGTAAAATGTCACTTTGAGATATGTGTGTGCGTGTGTGTGTGTGTGTGTGTATGTGTGTGTATGTGTGTGTTGTCTCCCCTGCATTCTGCCAGGCCCACTTTCATGATCTAGAAGTATATTGGAAGGGAAGTGAGGGAGGGGCAAAAATGCAGTATTTGAGACAGAGGAAATTTACTATTTCACATCGTGGGTTTAGTGCTCCTGATTGAATTGACTTGCTTTGTCTGCTTGATCTGCCTCTTCCTCCAGCCTTTGTCTCACAATAAGTCAAGATAGGGTGGAGTTTCTGGGTACATAGAAACAATAAAGTTGCCAGGCTGATGATGACCTGCTTGGTGGGGCGGGGGTGGGAGGGACCCTCTATGAGGGAACTACGGTTTTGCCATTGACATCAGTTGGATATGGGCCATATTCAGAGATATTTATTAGAGATCACAAATCCTGAGTACATAAGAGCTTCATCCATGCCCTGGCCTCCAACAGGTGCAGGTGAGCATAAGAAGAATAGAGAAAAAAGAGAGCAATTAGACACTGACGTTCAGGTAATCCAAAAACTCGTTAGAAGTAGTCAGGATTCTTCTACCTTCTTTTGTGTGAGGGTGGCTCTGGCTTTCACTTGCCAAGATCAGCTCCTAAGGTCTTGGCAGCCAGTGTGCAGCAACTGTTCCCTGCATGTTGTCAAATTCCTCAACGTACCACGCCCTGTTTAGACTTCTTAAGAGTTGTAGATCATCTGCCTTTATAAATAATTAGAAGGATTTTAGCTGCAGGTCAGTCAAGTGCCTGGGACTGGTG